AGGTGAGCCGTGTCCGCTGGATTTCCAGTTAGGGGCGGTGCGACCTGCCCCGTCCTGAGCTCTACGCAGCCCTATCATCCCTCCTCGCTGCCTACAAGTCCACCTCCTCTCCCCACTCTTCCTCACGTTCTCCCTCTTCCTCACAGAAAAGCGCCTGCCGGATGCCCACAGCCGCTTCCCCTGGAGAGCCGCCTCCCCGGGTGCCCTTCCCCTGGAGCTCCGGGTGCGCCCACAGACTGCAGGCAAAGCGTTCCATCAGGTCACCGAAGGTGCCGCCTTTGAATGACAACTCCAGACTGCGTAGAGAGGAGGGCGCCAGGACTCGGGGCCTAGGTGACTGGTGGGATTTCTCTTCCTCCCCACAAGACGACATACTGAGGCACTTCCTGGGTTTTGTCCTGCAGAACCCGGCCAAGGAGTGCGGGCAGCGGTTCTCACCCCGCGGGGCCCTGCGCCCAGCCCCTGCCCGTTGAGGAGACGCCCCACTCACAGCAAACAGAACCGACTCAGGACAATTCAGGGTCTTCCCCGACACACAGTTTCGCACCTCGATCACTTGAGATGGAGTCTCTTTTCTAACTGCAGAAATCGCAGCTGTACTTCATTAAAAAGAAAAAAGTCAGGTGTTGACTCTCCAGGGAAATCAGAGCCTCCAGCCCCTGCACAGCCTCACTGAGCGGAGAGAACTTGCACAACCTTCAGCCCCCCACTTCCAAAGCCATTCATCCACCTTCTCCTCGCACACGCAGGAGGAGAGAAAACGAAGCTGAGCCATCCGTCCTGAAGGGCAGGGGTGCGAGTGCTTGACCATACACACCCCTCGGGCTCCAGATTCCACAGCTGGGCCTGGCAGACGGTGCTGCCCACGTCTAGGACCCCTGAGGACAGAATGCGCGGCCAGGAGGAGAGGGCACAGGATCCCTAACACCCAGGGGCCCCGGCCCGGGGTTCACCAAGGGCTCGCCTGGCAGGCAGCAGCCGCTGCATTACCACAGCAAGTGCCCAGCACCTGTCCACGGGGCTGGCTCTCTGAACCCTACAGCACAGCTCCTGCCTGCCAGGATCTGCATCTGTAGAACGATCTGGAACAGTGGTCAGACTGACCCGAAGCACAGAGTCCACTGACCACCACTCCACTGGCACTTCCAAGGCCAGCCAGGTTCAGACATATAACAGGAAACGTGTCCAGTGTAGTAATTAAATGCCTGAGCTCCAACAGCCAGGACTGGGACTCAGACCCTGCAGGGTTTTCTTTTTTTAGCTGTATAATTCCGTGCAAGCTATGCAAACACTCTAAAAAGTTCAAAAACTTCTCACCAGACCCTGAATGTCTCCTGGTGGTAGGGGCACATCCTCCCTTTCCTTAACTGACTCCCACCTCGGGGCCTTGGCACCTCTTCTCTACCCTGCTGAGCCTCAAAAGGCTAGCTACTCCAACACACAGCTCAGACGTCAAGAAGTCACCTCCAGGGTCTCACGATGGGGAGCAGCGTTGAGTACGCGTATGCATGCTGTGTGATTCCGCCTACGTGAAGTGTGTGTGTGTCAGGTTACCCTTGCTAGGGACGGCTAGTGATGGGAAGGACCCCTGGGGCCTGGGCTGCTGTTAAGTTACCTTCCTGCTCTGGACCTGGCTACCCAGGAGGGTCCCACTGGTACAAATTCATGAAGCTGTAACACACACATTTTTCAGGACATGTTCTGTGTCGATTTAAAAAAAAAAAAGCCTGAACAAAAAGCACCACCTTGTCTAGTGCTTTTGCCTGATCCTACCTGCCTGGGGCTAAGCGTCCACTCCCATCCCAGGACCCTGCTCAAGGTCATTCACAGCCTCTCTCTCTCTCTCTGGCAGAAAACATCTTGCACGAGTTCAATCTGGTTCATCCCAGTCCCACAAAAGTGAAGTCTGCCAATGGGAAAGGCCTCTGCCTGCCTCATTCACCAGCCCAAACCCCTGGGCTGGACAGTCCTGCCAGAGGTACGGCTGGATGAAATGCAGGTAAAAATAAGAGAGCGCTAAGGAGAGCCCTATAAAGGATCGCATGTCAATCAAGTCCAAACACTGAAGCCAAGAGTAGAAGAAATTTAAAAACTTCCATGACATTAAGCGGCAGGACGTGTGTCAAATGTCACATTTAACCATGGGAAGGAGCAAATGTTATTCTCTGGATATCTTTGTGAAATCAGCTCAAGTTGCTTCTGAGAGCGGAAAGCCGGTCTCTTATCTGCCTGGGCACAACAGCCCTGTACAAAGCAGGTCTGGGGCAAGAGCGGGCACAGATTTCTGAGATACTGGGTGAGGATTCTCAGGCTTGGTGGAGAAAGCGGGCCAAGTCCAACTGTAATGTCTGCCATGGGCCAGAAGCTAGGGATGTACACTAATCAAATCAGACTTACAGGGCACAGATATGAGAAGCATCCAAGAAACCGAAAATGGAATCCCTTACAAGCCACGACCCATATCACAATGTTCCCAAAGAAAAAAACTGTGTCGCCCGTGCAGGTGACTGGATGTCATATATAAATACTACTGGTATCCGAGTAAGCCCTGTGCTATTTTCATGGGGAAACTCTACTTAGAGGTGAGAGCCCAGGGTAACAGAAACTCGAGGGTAAGCCTTCACTCTGCAATCGGTTCTGCCACAAACTCTTGTGACCCTGCATGAGTCGCTGAACTTCTTTAGGGCTTCATTTTTCTGCCCATGAACAGAGCTTACGGGAGCAGATGCTAGTAATGCTCATTTCTGTTTCCCGGACACTGCCAGAACTCCCGCCTTTAGAAAAGCGGCTCTCGTCTTCCAAGCCTGGAGCTCACAGTATCACAAAGCACCCCAAGTGTGTGAATCAAAGCAACCAGATGGAGCCAGAGACTGATCTCCTTACCCGGTCTTCCTGCCAGCAGTCCTTCCTGCCCAGCAGTCTCTCTAGTGTTGGGATCCGGCTTCTGTCCCTTGGACAGGCCAGGAGACCCCACCTATGTGAGCCCAACACTGTGCATTGTCAGTTTTCCCTGTACAAGTCCTTCCTTCCCTGGGGTTTTCACTGGCCATGGCCCAGGTCTCCTGAGTTCAAGTCCACGCTCAGAGCGCCCTCGTTCTGGTTTTCTGTGACACCTAGATACCGAATAGACGTGGCTCACCTGGAGGTGTTCTCTTTCCTCTGCGTCAACTGTGACTAGTGATTTTAATTAGACTAAACCGCCATCCTCTTACCACCCCAACACACTGTGAGGTGCCTCTCAGGGACTTTACAGGAGTAAGTATCAGCGCCTTTTAAATTCACAGAAACAGAGAAATGGGATGTCAGGAAATGGAAGGAGAGGAAAAAAGAAAACCATAACTCAGGTGTCTTAATTAAGCAAAGCTTGGAGTAACTTGGAAAAGCATCAGCTATTTTTTTTTTCCAGTTTTCTTAACTTGGAAAAGCATCAGCTATTCTATTTTTCCAGTTTTCTTAAGAAATATAGGAAGCACATCCTGTTTGAAAATGTATAAGTGATAACTTGCCTCTTATCAATGAAAAATGGGGCAATGGGCAAGGTCATTGATGGGCTGTGGCTGAGCCCCAGACTGTCCCTTCTTGAAAAAGAGAGAATCTGTGGGAACCAGGAGTCTGGGGCTAGTGGCTTCTCGGGGAGCATGGCCCGTCAGAACTTCACCCCACGGTCTCCCCCTGTGGAAGCCTGCCACAGCCCCACAGCCCGCAGTACAGTCCACACCGGGGACAAGCTGGGACAGCCCTTCAGTGTCCACTGCCCTGCTTTGGTGTGACCTCCCCAGAGCATGGAGAAGGTGGACAGGCCAGCAGCTGTTTGCTGAAGGGAGGGAAAGGGCTTCCGGTTTTCTCCAGCTGAGCGCCCTGAGTCCACAGAAGTGGAACTGGCAGAAGGTCCAAGGTCAGGTGAGTTGCACCCCGGCTAGGCCCAGGGTTTCAGGCATGTTTACCACGTGGCCTGCCTGCCGCGCGCTCGGAGCCTCGGACTTTCAAAACTAGCCCTGGCAGCCCTGGAAGTGAAACCTCGGGACTCGCGAACACCCAGGAACTCTTCCTAAACTTTTCCTAAACTTGCGTCCAGCGCCTGGCGGAGGGAACAGGGGCGCACAGAAGGGGCAGACGGAGAAGGGGAAAGAAGGGCCGGGGGAAACCAGGAGATGGGGGCGCAGCGCGGGCAGGAGACACGGGCAAGGAGGGGACAGAAGGGGCCGGAGGGACAGGGGCGCAGGAGGACAGAAGGGGCAAGAGCGACAGGGGCGCAGGAAAGCGCGGGTCGGGCTGGCGAGGCCGCGCTGGCGCCTTCCCCTCACCGGCTGCGCTCACCTGGCACCTGGCGGCCAGCAGCCGGGGCCGCAGCGCGGGGTCTCGCAGAAGCCGGCCAGAGCGCGCGGCCACGGGGAGCGCCATCTTCACCAGGAACTGGGGAGCCGCGGGCAGGACTGGGAGGAGGACAGGGGCGGGGAGGGGCGGGAGGAGGGGAGGGGCGGGGAGGGGGGCTGGGGGGGGGGGGGGGGAGGGGGGGGGGGGGGGGGGGGAGGAGGGCTGGACAGGGGCGGGGAAGAGAAGAGAGGCAGGGAGGGGCGGGGAGGGGCAGAACAGAGAGGAGGAAGGGGCGGGAGGAGGGGAGGGGAGAGGAGAGGGGGCGGGACGGGGAGGAGAGCGGCGGGGAAAGCAGGGCGGAGAGGGGAGGGAGGCCCGGAGGGAGAGGGGCGGGCCGTAGCTCAGGAAGGAGGCGCACGGAAGGTCAGCCGAGCGCGCTAGGGGCGGGGAGGCCACGCCCTCGGCTCCAAGCCCCACGGTGTTCCCTCGGGTGCTGTCGCGGCGCCCTAGGTCCCACCAGGCCCGAGTTCACACTGGGGGGTCCTGAGGCCTGATGACCTGCTCAGCGAGCCACACTCGTTGCGGCCGGGAGAGCCGAGCCTTGCGCTCCTGAAATCCACAGGGCCCGCTCTTGCAGGCGCGCTGGCAGCCCGGGCCGGGAGCGGGCGCCCTGAGGCCGACTCCCGGATCCTGGCCGCAATGGCTGTCCAGGGACGTAGGTCCAGTTAAGGCCCCGAGAACTTTGGAGAGGCGCGGGGAGCCTGCATCCCGGGCCCAGGGAGTCTTCTGAAGTAGGTGGAGGCTCCGGTTCTGTTTTTCCGGGTAGCGGGGATTGCACCCAGGGGTGCTCCTCCGCTGAACCCCAAGCCCTTTTTATATTGAGGGGGGTCTCTGCCTGGACTAACTTGAAATTGGGATCCTCCTGACTCAGACTCCGGCTGATATTACCAGATTTGCGTCTGTTTGTTTGCTTTTTGCTTTTGATCCTGAACCTGAATTCAATGCGAAGCTATGGATGAATTTTAAACCAGTAATCGTAACAGAGAATCTATTTGGAGCCTCAGGACTCTGCGCACATTACATGTATAAAAACGATGGTAGCGAACGCTCAGAGTTGTGTCGGAGCACTGGACAGACGCGAACAGCCTTAACAGTAACCTCTTAAGTGGAAGCAAATGCAAAATCCTTGTTTTCCCAAAGAGGAAACTGAGGCACAAAATAGTTCAGTCACTTGGTGGAAATCACAGTTTCCATAAAGAATAACTACGAGATTCAAATCCATGCCCCCACCCTATTAAGCCCGATTTTAGAATTTTTTAACCTTATTCTTCAGTGTTTGACCTTGAGAGAAAATACAATAAAACAGAGGTAGGCAGCTATTGCTGGTAGTTTAGTCTTTTTTTTTTTTTTTTAACTTTTGATTGGATGTAATTCTGAATTGACAGAAAAGTTGCAAGAATGTAACTCAGAATTATCCTTTGCACATCTAATCCAATTATTTACCTGTTGGCCCATGTTTCATCCTTAGTAGATACATGTAGATAAAGTCATGTCAATTTATGCCCCTTCCTGGTCAAATTCTTAGTATTCATTGGTGATTACCATTTGAGTCAATTATAACTTTGACAGCTACAAAATGATGATTGTCTAACTCCATTCTTCTAGATTTCTTAGTTTGTATTCTCTGAGAACAGCCTTACCTTCTCCCCATTTCCTAGCTTATTGTTTTATTTGGTTATATTACCATAAACCTGCAGATTCTTTCTTACCCAGTGGTGATCCTGTGCTCTTTCCTGTGGCACAACCTCTACAGCCTCTGGATGTCTCTCAGGATCCCTACAAAGGAGATCTCTTTGTAACTCTACTTGGCTTATGGAAAAATGGGCCACAGAGTTCCATACCCCATGGCGCCTTTAGGCTGGGTATCAGAATTCCCAGACCTGGAACCCACCTCCTCTGTCCTGTCCATCCTTTTGAGGTGAGTGGGTCTGAGAACCCACTGGGTCTGCCACGGGGCAGCATGGAGCCAGGGTTCTTGTTGATGTTTGCAGGGTGAAGGTTTAAACTTGGTGAGCATTATGAGCATGGTGCTGGAGAAGGACCACCTGTAGAATTTACCAAAGCTGCTTATCCAAAACTTACTGTCCTCTGTCACTTTCCTCCTGATAGCAGCTAGCAGGGATTTGAAAGGAATGCTTTTCACTAGGTCTGGTTCTGGGCAGGAGGGAGGGTGCTGGGGATTGACCCAGAGCCTTGCACTTGATAGCACACTGGGAGTTATCTGCTTACTTAGGGCAGTACTGGACAGTGATCTTCCAGGGTGAATGGGGTGGGGATAGGGGAGAGTTTCTAACAGGTGTTTCAGTACTTGGCAGCTGTGCTGGTCACTGTCTGCAGAGCTGGACCTTCCAGTCTGGAGAGCCTCCCGTGAGGTTTCCTGCTTCAACAGGGAGACATTCTGGTCTGCCCCTCTGGAGCCTAAATCTTTTACTGGCAATTTCTCAGTGTCTTTGCTTACATTCTCTCCTTCTGCCGTCATCTGAAGTAGTTGGTTTGGGGAGAAAGGGTAGGCGGGAGGAGGAACTCACCACTCAGGGTCTTCCCAGCCCGGCATTGGGCTGAGTGGACACATGTGGGGTGAATCATCCTCCTGAGAGCATCCTAACCCTTCTCCCTAGTATTTACCTTTGACATTTCCTCCCTACACAGGAAGCTCTTTGAGAGGAAGGACCCAGATTCTACCAGAGGTTTCTGTACTGTGCACTACTGAGAAAAGCACTGTGTTTTCAGCACTGGATTGCACTCAGATGTCAACTCTACCTTCTTTACTGGGACCCAGGGAAGCACCTACTCTGCAGGGTGCCAATACCAATAGGGTGCTGTACATGTTTTACTCTGCAGGGTGCTAGTCCTCCGTTGTTTTAGACTAAGCTCCTGAACTGAACCCCAGTAGACCAGACTGAAAATAACAGTGGAGTCATCCACAGCTGAGTTCCAGAGCACCAAACCATAGCCAAGATAGCTGATCCTCATGGTGTATGGGCCAGGCTGTTTGTGCAACGACCAAGCAGGCTTCATTGTACCCTGAGGCTCCATATCATGTAAGAAATGCTTCTCCCGTGGGAAAGCCCCGCCTCTGAGCCCATTAATATTTACCCAGCATGGCATACTTGGCAGCACAGAATGGCGATTCTTACACAATGTAAAATCGTTCTCTCTTTGGTTTCCATTTTTCTTGGGCAATGTGCCCTGGCAGAGATTGATTGTCTAGACATTAGTAACCATTCTCTAACTTGTGCTCAACTAGGGTCATTTTGACCCACTTCCCTTCTGCTTGCTTGCTGCTATGCCAACCGGGAAAGTCCCTCGGGACATACCAATGTACCCATTGCATTGTCTCACTGACCGCTCAGCTTCTGTACCCCTGCTTGCTTGCAGCTGCATCAACCCTGTTGTGGCTTTTGTCTTTAAATACCCAAAACCTTGAAGCTCAAGGCTGTTTTCTGTAGAGATAACTTGGTCCTGTAGGAAGCAGTCCCGGCCGGTCAGAATAAAGACTCTTCAATTTGGACAAAACTGGGACTTGGTGTGTTTTCTGAGTGACCTGCCCCACAACACTAGGAAATAGAAGGGAGAGAGGTGGAGCAGCCCCCCTTCCAGACAGGCCAGTGCCCACTGCCATGCTGACGAAGTTCTGCCTCCTCTTCACACACAAATGTAACTGAAGTAAGCTGGGGTCAGCCGATGTTCCATCCCCTGTCCTCACCTTGGGAGATAGCAAAATGGAGAGAGCCGGTGCCTTCCTTTCTTGTTTCCGTTTTGTTCGGTCCCTCTGTGTACAAAAGCGAGCTCTGTTCTCCTCCCACCAAAACCCTCACTGGGCGTCCTTGTTACACAGTGAGGTGGCGTGCAACTCTGGGAATCGACAGCACACCCGCAGAGATCCTGGTGGTGCACACCTGTGATCCCACTGACTGCTAAGGCAGGAGGATCACAAGTTCATGGTCAGTCTGGGCATCTTAGCAAGGCCCTGTCCTGAAATAAAAAGGGCTGGGGATGTAGACCAACGGTAGAGATAGATTCAGCCCTCAATACTGTGTGTGTATATATATTCCCCTCACTAACTCATTGTGATTTTGTCCTTTGATAACAATAAGTGGGATGTGATGTCTGAAGACCTTTTGAGGAGTAGGGGCTTAATGCTATTTTTCATCCTCCAGTGGATCTTGAACACTTGATGTGAAATGGGAAGCACCGTGGATGGTCCTGACGCTTTGACTTATCTCACTGTCACTGCCTGGGATATGTAAATGCAGATTAAGGTACTGGACCTGACCTCAGGTGGTTTTGTCCAGGAAGACACAGAGGGCAGCGGTCAGGGAGCTGTTCTGTTTTCAACCTTCAAATCTCCACCCTATACCTATTGAAGGGGAATCACTTAGGACAGGGCTTGGGGTCTACATTTTAAATCATTCTTTTCAAGGGGTTCTTTAGTTTGAAAACTGAAACACAAAGCAAACTGTAGTGATGAGCTCCTTGAAGAAGTTCCCTGGTGAGCCCAAAAGGGAGTAACTCTACTGTCCCCCATTGGGGTTCATAAATATAGGACAAAAAGCTGATAAACTGTGGGGGCGCTGGAGCCTCACAGTTGCTTTAGGAGATCCCAGTTTTCACCAGCGTCTCCGTCAGTTGGATGGGCAGAGGCAAAACGCTGGGGTGATGTAGCAGGAATTTTGTGCGGTTTCTTTGTCAGAATCACCATGGTGGATACTGCAGTGGTACCTGGCTCCCTGTGGAATCATCTGGAAACAGAGGGGGCCTCAGACAACCAGTGCAAGTCTTCCCTCTGCCATCGAGGAGCATCCTAACCACGGGCAGGTTGTTCAACAGCCTCGACCTCTGGAAAGGAGATCACAAGGGCATGGGTTTTACCAGTGAGGGCTGGAGATCCCAGGGACGGCATCGACCACGCCACGATACTTGACTACAGACTGTGTGTGTTTGTTCAGTGTGTGCATCTGGGCCTCAGTTTCCCCATTGGCATAACAAAGGCATCTTCTGGGAGCTGGGACTTCGCCACGCTGTGCTTCTCATAAACTTTGACTACATTACAAGTATTAAGTTCCCAAACTCCATGACCAGGTTTGCATTTAGAACACCCTGCCTACACTCTTTCTTATTCAGCTAATTGTTCCAAGAAGGAAAATAAAAACATCAGTGAGCCCACACGCCTTCCCTTTCATCTAAGCAGTGCATGTTACAGTGAAATAATGTGCTCATTTTCATATCCACACTGATTACTCCAGGGGCCCTGCTTGGAGCCCGCACAGGGGGAGTCATCTGGCAGCTCCAATGGTTGTTTATCATTACCTTTTCACTTAAGCATAAAAACCATTTGACAAATACAAACTCATTATAACCAGCGGAGCCGAAGAAAAATTTTAAAGAAACAACCCTAATTTTCACAAATTACATATTTGAGTTCATGCTGCCGCATGTCAGGAAATGAAAATTACTATTATCACGATGAAATAAAGGGCACCTGTGAATTTCACTTGGTTATTTCTTTTTTAATGGGGAACAGATTTCTTGAACTCACAGGCGGAGAAACTTTGGCCTTCCCTGTGCAGACAGGCCGTCTCCGTGTTGCGGCTCGTGGAGACCATTGAGGCAGCCAGGGTAGCCACACTCCAGTTGGGTCACTCCCCAGTGGCCCAGAAAGAACTTGCTTTGTGCTGAGTTAACTTTTCCTCCCTGGTAATGCATGAACCTTTAGGGGTGCGGTGAGCTGGGTGACGGAGCGCTTGCCTGGCATAGATGAGGCTCTGGGCTCCGTCCCCAGCACCTCAAAGAAAAAAGAAGAAAGAAGGTTGACTCTGAAGGCATTTATAGCAGCTTATTTAAATTATAAGGTGCTCAGAAGACCAGCACCTAAAGCATCTCCCCTCCAAAACCACAAGGAGCAGGAGAAGTCCTCAGCCCATCCCTGGGGGGCAGCAGGGGGGAAGTCAGAGCAGCAGGATCAAGGCAGGAGGAAGAGGAGGGGCCCGGGGACAGTGTCCAGGCCTTCAGCAGGCCCAGGACAGCTGGGAAGACTGACAGAGGACGGGACAGGCATGGAATCAGGGTGAGACGTTCTGCGGGCAGGGAGCTGGGGGACCGATGGGAAGGGCAGGAGCCCAGTGCCCTGTGCACCCAGGGGAGCAGGGAGGGGCGTGGCCTGAAGGAGAAGACTGGCACCCCACGGAAGGCAGGAGAGCGCTCCCTCAGAGAAAACCACCTGGGGCGGGACCCGCGGAGCCCAGAGGCACCTTCCATGTCAGTCAAGACAGCCTTCTTGAAATACCAAATAGAAGTCAAAGGAACATCCCGCTCGGAGTGCCAGCTTTGTTAGAAAGCAGGTGGATGCCGCCCTCTTTTTGGTGCTGAGGATGGAACCAGGGTCTGACCTTTGCTAGGCAGGGCTCTACTGCTGAGCTGCACCCCAGCGCCCAGCCCCACTTTATACAACTTCATTGTATATTATGTCACTTGTTGGTGCTGGGAATTGAGCCCTGGGCCTTGTGCAAGAGCAGCCGTACGGGCGGAGCTCTCCAGGGCTCGGGATTCCGCAGGTGTACACGTGGGGTGCAGGGATCTGCGTTTTCATAAACACCTGCCCCCCCTCACTGGGAGTGTTCTGGGCTGTGAGTCCCCGTTGTTGCAGAAGTCCACCTAGAAGGTGGACTGTGGCCTGGCTGGAGGGGAAGGACAGCACTGCCCAGCCCTGCTTCCTCTGGCGTTCTCCTTCCCACCCCACACCTGCTGTCCTGCTTAGACTTCCCCAGACCCCCCAAGTCCAAGCAAGGAGTGTGGAAGGGGCTCCGAGTGCTCCCTCTGCCTAAAGCAACTCCCTGTGGTCCACCTGGCTGAGGGGCTCCGACCCTGACTCTCAGTCCCCTCCAGGAGCCTCTGCAGGCCGGACGGGTTGTGGCAGGGGTCACCAGAGGCCACCGGCTGCATTCTTCCTCCAGGGTGTTAAATCTGCCAGGAGGGCCCTGTGGTCCTCCCTGCTTTTCATCTCTGTGACAAATGCCTGACAGGAACGACTTGGAGGAAGAAAGATGGTTGGTGTATGGCTTTAGACGTCTGTGGTTGGCTGGGAGGAGAGGTGCTCCAGGGTACGTGAGAGAGAATTGTCTTCTGTTTTAAAAAGAAGTTTCAAAACCGTAGCCCTCAACCGCCCCTGCCTGTCTTCCTTACCCACTGGACTGTCTCCTGCTCCGCCCTCCCAGCAGCGCAAGTGCTAGGGACGTCTGCCACCTGGGGCCCACCAGGGACTTCTCCAGGGAGATGAGGAGACCCGAGCACTCCAGAGGGGATGGTTTTGACTGGTTTTTATTTGATACATATGAAAAGATTAGAGGCAGTAGGAGAAGAGACTCAGGGAGAACCGATGTATGATTCAATTCTTTTTTTCTTTATTATTATTTTACAGAAGAAGTAGGTAGAGATGGCACAAATAATGGCTCCTCCTCTTCTGGTATCAAGTTTCATTGAGCTCCCACCAAAGCAGACAAGAGCAAGCCCCCTGCAAGCCAGGTCACAGAGGCAGATCCCCTCAGAAAGCAGGGTAGAGGCCTGCCTCCTACGCCTGCCTCCTCTGCCTGCCTCCTCCTCCTCAGGTAGGGAGTGCCTGGAGCTCTCCTAAAATCCACTCTCACACAGACTCTGGAGCAAAGAAGAGTGTGTCAGACACTTCAGAGGAAAGGAGGTGGACGTGGTCAAACAGGAAGGAATGTCCCCTCCACCCACTGTACTGCGGAATTGCCGAGCCAAGGACATGGCTGCCTGTTAAACTGGAGCATGTTTTAAAGTAATTGTGTACGACTCCCAGTGCTGGGTGCTGGGGCGACTGGCTCCTGCTGGTTGACGCGGCATCAACTGGGTCTCCTCTGCAAGGAGAGGCAGCCACCTGCACCCAGGCATGAAGGGGCGACATCCTCCAGGCCCATGACTCAATTTATGGAAACATTTTAAAGCAAGCCTTTAAAACAAGTCAAAGAGATGCTTTCAAACGTAGCAATTGCAGCAAAATGTATTTAATGGTGAAAATTTGGAAAGACATAACTTGTGAATCATTAATGAGAAATACAGTAGAATCTTGAGCAATACCAAAACACATAAAATTCAAATTCACTTTAAATTTAAGTATTTAAACTCCCTGAAGGCAATAATCACTGCCAATATAGGCTTCACAAAATCGTTTAATTTCTTG